CTAGGGGCTGCACCTAGGGATTGGGCCTGCCCTCTGCCACCCGGGAGCAGGCCTAAGCCAGCAGGTCATTATCTCCCGAGGAGTCCCAGACTGCGAGAGGGCACAGGCCGGGCTGAGGGACCCCCCCCTTCCCCCGAGTGCACAAATTTTTGTGCACCGGGCCTCTAGTTTATACAATAAAAGGTTATAAGGAAAAATGCTTGTATTCTTTTTATTACAGGTTTGAAATTAATGAAACCCAAGGACGTTTAACACTGATAGCCCAGAGGAGTGAGGGGGCTCTAGGCCATGTTTCCTTGTTCGTGTATGCCCAGAATTTGGAAGCACAGCTGGGGCTGGATTACAGCTTTACCCCAATGGTAAATTCTTTAAGAATGATAATGGTTTAGGTCCTCTATAAATGAATTAATATAACATAATAAACTATGACATATTTCCACTGTAAATTAGGGCAGAAGACTTCCACATAGTGGAATAGCTCTCTTCACTGATTTACTATAGCACATAAGTTGTATTTTCAATACTATTCTAAAGATTAATCTGTATTTTATTAATGCATTATTTTATGCAATATTTAATACTGAAGGGTTATCATGTTATAGGATTTATATCACTTGGTGACCTCAGACTGTTTCTTATGCTTCTTGAAAATTTAACTCTTGTATTTCACTGTTTTAATTTACTTTGAAACACATTTAGTGTTTTAAAATACATTTTACTTTGTCTCTTTATGCCTTTTATTTCTTAACCGAATGCTTATTTCCTTCTATTATTCCATAAATTTTACTTTCCAAACTTAGTATTGTCAATTCAAATTATTAAAAATTAAGCAAAAAAGGCAAAATCCCTGTCAAACCGTTTATTTCACTTTCACAACTATATTGTATTTCTTTCTATTCTGTAAAAATTCAGAGTGTATTTAAATATTATACTGTCTACTTTTACTTTCTTGACCAGATTCTTCACTTTGCTCATGGAGAACGGTATAAAAATGTTGACATCATGATTCTTGATGATGATATTCCAGAAGGAGATGAAAAATTTCAGCTGATTTTAACAAATCCTTCTCCTGGACTAGAACTGGGAGGAAATACAATAGGTAATTGAGAATTTGTTATACCCAGCTCCCTCTCCCTCATACTCTTTTCCTAATATGGAGCCAGATGTACAGGGATTAGTCTTGATGGTTTTTTATGTTTACAATACAAAATATTTTAAGTTAAGCATTTTGGAATTCCTGTGTCAGTGTAACAATGCTTCATGTGTGTGTGTGTGTGTATATGTGTGTGTGTGTGTGTGTGTAAAACGAAAGAATAGGTTGCTAACAAGATAATATTAAGATATTAAGTCATTTCCCTAGTTATTATAGGTTTTATTTAATTTATAAATGTCTTTCCTTTGAATTTGGAGTTGGCATTGGTTTCCTTTTTAGCAGAAGGAATGCCAGGGTAGCTGTTTTAGTGTCATCTAATTGCAGTAGTATTTACACATAGAGTTGAAATGTATTTACACCCGAGGACTGCCAATAGGAGCCATACTTCTTTGGTTGGAACAGTTTAATATTGTTACCAAAAATCATCCTGGTTCACTGCTCGTTAGCTATCATGCTGAGTGCTTAGAGAAGGTAGAAAGGAGAAAAATGAGGAAACCTCCTGGACACAGAACGGATTGAAAGGGCTCTAAAACAGGGACAGTTCTGACTCTGCTTTTCCGTTACTTTGACACCCATGGCCTGGCTGGTCACTCCAGGGCAGTGAAGACAGACATCCTTGTCTTGTTTCTGTTTTTAGTGGCAGTGCTAATTGTTCAACATGAAGTTTGTTGTTTTTGCTATTGGCTTCTCAGAGGTATCACTTCATCAGGTTGGGGAAACTGTCTTTTATTCCGAGCTTACTGAGTATTTTTATGTCATACACGAATATAAATTTTAATAATGCTTTTAAAAATTCCTTTGCTTCTTGACAAAGGGATTTCTTAACATAAAGTTGCGGGGAAATTTTCCCCTTGTTTTTAAGGTGATCCAGAGAAGAATTAGCCTACTTTACAATGAAGTACCAACATACTTCCCAGCACTTACAAGCCATTCTAGTTTCATTTATTACTTCAACATTTTTATTTTGACAGCCTTAATCACTGTCCTTGCTAATGACGATGGCCCTGGAGTTCTGTCATTTAACAACAGTGAGCACTTTTTTCTGAGAGAACCAGCAGCTCTCTATGTACAAGAGAGCGTTGCAGTATTATACATTGTTCGGGAACCTGCACAAGGACTGTTTGGAACCGTGACAGTTCAGTTCATTGTGACTGAAGTGGATTCTTCAGTGGAGTCTAAAGATCTGACTCCTTCCAAAGGCTATATTGTTTTAGAAGAAGGTGTTCGATTCAAGGTACAGTATAAGCCTTCACTGAGAGTCAATACTCATCTTTTAAATTTACAAAATAATATTTCCTTAGAAGAGCACCCTAGGTCCTAGAAAGATAAAAGTATTTCCAGCATAGATATTAGGAAAAGACATGGTTAGATGACTGTGTGAAAGTGCCATGTGCTATATAGTTTATAGAGAGCGCAACTGGAAAAATTTGCTCTGTGAATTAGGCATTGGAATGTGCAAATAAGAAAGGAAATATGTGTATTGCTATTTTAAAACTCAAGCATATTCAAATGGAACACTTCAATATATATGTCTATAAACCATAAGCTAAAAATGCTCTAAAACATTCTTTGCAGTCATGAAACATCAGCACAATCACTCCTTCCTGCCAGGTTTTCATTAAGTAAAATATAACTGCCTACTTCAGACGGCTTGTTTCAGACACAGGTGTCCTATGTGAATGGGAATAGCTCAGTGGAGAAAAAAATACTGGATTTGGATTACTTACAAATGTGATCTAAACTAGCAGAAGTTTATCTCCAGAATCCTCTTTTCCTATATATTAATAATTTTGTTTTTAAACTTTATTTTTAAAACATAGTTTAAATTTATAATAGCTAATTCCACTATTTTAACATATTTTAAGCTCACTATATAGTAAAGTATAATAATTCTAAAATAATATATTTATCCTAGTTCATCTAAAAGCAGTCCATCTAATAATTAAAAAGTTTTATTGATGATCAGTTTAAGTAAACTGAATACATTTTTAATGCATATTCATTTGCATATTTAATTTTTTACATTCTTTGAAATTTAGGACCTTTTAAATTTTCTTTCAAGGACAGTTATGTCTTCATATAGATTTTAAAGAATTCAAATTTGAAGTATTTTATGAATTTGCATTGCTTTAGATTCACATGCTATTTAAAAATGTTTTAAATTAAATTTAAAAATATTTTTAATTATCTTGTGTTTTTTTCTTTTTTAAAGAAATATTTTAATTGATTTCAGAGGAAGGGAGATGGAGAGCAAGATAGAAACATCAATGATGTTTCATTGATTGGCTGCCTCCTGCATGCCCCCTAATGGGGATCAAGCCTGCAACCCAGGCATGTGCCCTAACCTGGAGACGAACTGGGGACCTCTTGGTTAATAGGTCGATGCTCAACCATTGAGCCATACCAGGCCAGGTTGTGGTGTTTTCTTAAAAAACTTTTTTTTACAGTATATTTGAAGACCTTACTGTTCATTAGGCAAATTAAATGTTAGAGAAATTGGAATAAATTTTTCCTTCACACACATGATGATTTTTCCTCCAACATGTTTTTGATTTTGAGATATAAAAAATAAAATACACAAATATTTTTCAAAAATATATTTTATTGATTTTTTACAGAGAGGAAGGGAGAGGAATAGAGAGCTAGAAATATCGATGAGAGAGAAACATCAATCAGCTACCTCCTACACACCTCCCACTGGAGATGTGCCCACAACCAAGGTACATGCCCTTGACCGGAATTGAACGTGGGACCCTTCAGTCCACAGGCCGACGCTCTATCCACTGAGCCAAACCGGGCAGGGCAAATACACAAATCTTAAGTGTATGTCTCAATGACTTTAAAAATATGTATGCACCTATGTAACCACTCAAATTAAGATCTTGAACATTACCATCACTGGAAAGTTTCTTGCTCTCCCCAGAGGAAACTACTTTCCAGATTCTATCATTAAAGACTCATTCTAGCCTGGCCAGCGTGGCTCAGTGGTTGAGCGTTGACCTATGAACCAGGAGGTCGTGGTTTGATTCCAGATCAGGGCATATGCCTGGTTGTGGGCTCGGTCCCCAGTGTGGGGTGTTCAGGAGCCAGCCAATCAATGATCCTCTCTCATCATTGATGTTTTTATCCCTCTTCTTCTCCCTTCCTCTCTGAAAGCAAATTAATATTTTTTTAAAAGACTCATTTTACTGGTTCTTGAACTTCATATAAGTAGAATCATAGAGTATGTAATCTTTTGTGTCTCGCTTCTTTTGTGCAGTGTAATTTTTGAGATCTGTATGGCTGCACACATGAGTAGTTCTGTTTTTTATTTTTTATTATTATTATTTTTTTTGCTAAGAAGCATTTAATAAAATAGATCACTTTTTGTTTATGTATTCTCCTGTTGATGAACATTTGTGTATGTGTTTTAAATTAAGGCCTATAATGGTTATAAAGTTTTAGTAGCGAATCCTAGACTAGAATGAGGCTAACACAGTTGTTTAGCTAGAGTAGGATAAAGAGTTAGCAAAAATGAATATATAAATTTAATTTTAATCTTAATGTTATTTTTAAGTGCCATAAGTATTTATATTTAGACACTTCAGTGCCATACATAACAGTGTTGAAAATCTTGAAGTTAGTAAATGGAAAGAGTTGTAACTATAACATTATAGGGATCAATATTAGAATTTAAGAAAAGGTGATGTTTCCAAAACATATTATTTTATTCTCAAAAAATGTTTAACAGATTTCTCTGTCTGTTATAGAAAGACTATATTTTAGTAACTTTATCTTTTGATTTTGTTTTCAGGCCCTACACATATCTGCCATATTAGACACGGAACCAGAAATGGACGAGCATTTTGTGTGTACTTTGTTTAATCCGACTGGAGGTGCTAGACTAGGGGCACGTGCTCGAACCCTGATAACAGTTTTGCAAAACCAGGCCCCTTTGGGGCTATTCAGTATCTCTACAGTTACAAATAGGTATAGTTTATTCAAAAGGAAATTGCCGCTTCTGAAGCTAGTTAGGCAGTCTTTTTAAAAAAATGTTTTTATTGATTTTAGAGAGAAAGGAAGGGAGAGGGAGCGATAGATAGAAACATCAATGATGAGAGAGAATCATTGATTGGCTGCATTCTGCAGGCGCCCTACTGGGGACCAAGCCTGAATCCTGGGCATATGCCCTGACCAGGAATCAAACTGTGACCTCCTGGTTCATGGATCAGTGCTAACCACTGAGCAGCACCAGCTGGGCAGGATATATTTTTTGACATAGAGAAAATGCAGGAGGAAATTGAGCTCTGACTATCTTAAAAGGGATTTTTAAAATGTACTCTAGCAGATAGATTCAGAGAGGCCATATGCCCTCTCATAACAGGGACTGTCAGAAACCTAATCATGTCCTCCATAATGATGTTGTTAGAATTCTTATTTTCCCAAAGTTTACACTTTCAGGTAATGGCTTGCACTGTTTGTTTGTTTTTCCAATAATAATAAAAAGTGAGAAATAATAGAAATTATATTTAGTTACTCAGACTAAATAAATTATTCTTCAAAGATACCTTAACTTGATTATAGTTTAAAATTCCCTCTGTAGGCTGAAGATGTTTATTTCTATATTTTAGAAATATTTCAGTAGATCTTGTTTCACTGATACACTAGATCAGGGAATTTCTGACTTATTTTTTCTCTGTCATGTGTTTTTGTTTTATGTGAGATATAACAGTTTTATTTATTTTTTAGAATATGCAGCATGAAGTTACCGGCTTATCAGTATTTTGTTATGATTCTAGTATCAGAGTATTACATTTGTGCTTTTAAAAAATCTTCATAAATGAATATTTTTGAGCTGTAGAGTCTATTCTTCCTGCTGTATAAAATTTGTGGATAGAACTCACCATGGCTAGTGTAAATTTAAAAATGTATTAAATATATTATAGCATTGTGATATATATTTTAATATTCAGAAATTATGCTTTTTCTGCTTTCCATAATCCATTTGTTTTCTTTAGAGCCACATCTATAAAGATCGAAGAAGCCAACAGGACTGTATATTTAAATGTGTCACGTACTAACGGCATTGATTTAGCTGTGAGTGTGGAGTGGGAGACAATATCTGAAACAGCCTTTGGCATGAGTATGTTTCATTTCTTATGAGAACAAAATTCTATAACCAAGAAAGATTGCGTGTATAAAATTTACATATCCCCTCATAAATTGTATATTGTGGATTTGTTGAAAACGGAGAAAAGATATATAATTCTTTTATTGCACTCACAGATATTTATTGAAGGCCTATTATATGCCAGGCATAGGGCTAAACTCACAGAGCTTAGAATTTAAATGGGTGACAGAAATAAAACAAGTGAAAATCAGTGTGTAGTTTAAACTGTAATAAATGTTTTAAAGGGGATGTTCTTCATGTTGTGAGAACATAAATGAATGCTTCTCAGGCATATCAAAGTTTGAACTAAGAAAAAATGCTAGGTAGAGATTCTACTTGGAGGAACATGGGGGAAAAAGTGGGAAATGAATGAGGCAGACCTCTAGAGTCATTAACAAAAAGAACGTAAATGAAAAACTTTAAAATGGACATTGAGTTTAGAAATAAGGGGAGTGTTGAGTTTGAAGAGTTAGACAACACTAGATCATTCAAGAGGTTGAAGAACATGTTACGGGCATTTGTTTTAATCCTAGGATTAATGGAAAGCCTTTGAGTGCTTTAAGCATTGGGGAGGGTTACTAGGCACATATAGCATAAGGTGGCATGATCGCATTTGCACTTTGAAGATATCCTCAGTGCCATATAAAGAATGGGCTTCACTGTTTGAATAATAAACTCAATTGATAAAGTTTGGGAGGGATTATACACTTGTAAATTATGATATATGTTTTTTAGGGGGAATGCATATTGTGTTTTCCATATTTCAAAGTTTTTTCGATGCCTCGGCTTCTGGCTGGTGTTTCTTTACTTTGGAAGATTCAATATATGGTGTAATGTTAAGAAAGGTGTCTTCTACTGTTTACCGATGGCAAGGGGTTTTTATTCCACTTGAGGTAAGCATCGCTTATTTTACAGCAGACAAAATAAGATGTGCATGTAAATGTTGGCTACCTCGTGAATTACAGATATTCTTATGCCTTATATCCTAGGATTTAAATATAGGGAATCCTAAAACTTGTGAGGCCTTTCAGATTGGACTTTCTCCCTACTTTGTGATTACTCATGAAGAAAGACATGAAGAAAAGCCTTCTGTTAACAGTGTGTATACATTCACATCTGGACTCAAATTATTCCTGGTAAAAGAAACAAACAACAAAAAACTTTACTTTTTTGTAGATTGCTTTATTTAAAAGAAAAATTAGATTTGTAAGCTTGATCTAAATGGAAGTTAGATCTGTGGTCTGTGGTCATGTGAAAAAGGCTTTTGGCAAGTTGATGCTCATTTGAGCAAGGTGTCTTAATCTAGGGATAGTTTTGTCTTTCTTAAAATGACCTCTAGTTAGGCATATCTAGATATCAGAAGGATTTTCCCAGTTTTGAACTTCAAATACTGACTCATACTATTACTGTATTCAGATCCTTTTTTAGTTATATTCTACTTTAAATTTTTATTCCTACTGTTCTGTTTTTCTTGCAGGTTCAAACAATAATTATTTCAGAAAGTTCTCAAGTAAGATATTTTACTTCAGACAGTCAAGATTATTTAATTGTTGCAAGTCAAAGAAATGATTCTGCATTAACACAGGTGTGATTCTTTTAAAATGAACTTTTTTCTTTTTAATGCTATAATTAAAGCTCATCAAAGATGTAGTCTGTAGGATTAATATAAAATAACACCATAATTTGATTGGGGGAAAGTAATAAAGTAGAATATACATACTGATTAGTTACAGCTTATTTTAAAAAAATCTTCCAAATTTATTGGTAGCTATCCATCCCTCTGTATTCCATACGTACATATCTAACTTTCTATTAGCATCTTCACTTAAATACATTTTAAGTATGGAAGATTTAGCATATCCCCACTGAACTTTGGATTTTCTCTGCAAAACTTGTTCAGTGCTTGCTTTCATCTCAGGAAATTGCAACCTCATAAGTGCAATTGCTCTGGACGTAACCTTCATTACTCCTTTTTAATGACATCTAACTTATCATTAGGTGTTTTTGTTTATATCTTCCAATAATTGAATACAGACATTTTTTATTCCATTGCTGCTTCTCCCTCCTTAATCCAGGTCCCCATCACTTCTCTCTGACACTATTAGAGTACCCTCTAGCTGGTTTCCAAACTTCTTCTCTGACCTCCTCAGACCCATTCACAGTCAAGTGGCTGGGGTAATATTTTATTTTTTATTTTTTATTGATTTCAGAGAGGAAGAGAGAGGGAGAGGAAGATGGAAACATCAATGATGAGAGAGAACCCCCACACTGAGGATTGTGCCCACAACTTGGGCATGTGCCCTGACCGAGAATAGAACCGTGACCTCCTGGTTCAAACCACTGAGTCATGTTGTCTGGGCTGGAGTAATATTTTAAAACATTAATTAATATTGAGTGATTCCTCATTTTAAAACTTTATCTATTTCCAATTATACTCAGCATGCATCTAAGTAAGTAGGATAACCATATCTCCTTATTTGTCCAGGACAGTGTTGGGTTATGCCTGTTGTCCTGATATAATTACTAATATTGTCCCATTTGCTCGCTCAGGGACCCTTGTGATAAATTACATGGTCTCCCTAGCAAAAGACTCCTTACCTGTCTAGTCTGATACTCAGTTCCCTAGAACTGTTAGTTTCCTTCCAGTTAGACCCGTTTTAACTCAGATAATGACAAACTTTTGCTGCTTTGGAAATTTTGTCATTCTCTCTACCTTTATTTTCCTTATACACCCATAGTTCTCCATCACATCATTTCAGTTGTTATCTTTAGCACTTGTATCAATTTTATAATCATGCATCTATTTATTTTTTTATTTTTAAAATATATTTTATTGATTTTTTACAGAGAGGAAGGGAGGAGGATAGAGAGTTAGAAACATCGATGAGAGAGAAACATCGATCAGCTGCCTCCTGCACACCCTCAACTGGGGATGTGCCCACAACCAAGGTATATGCCCTTGACTGGAATCGAACCTGAGACCTTTCAGTCCGCAGGCCGACGCTCTATCCACTAAGCCAAACCGGTTAGGGCTCATGCATCTATTTAAATATTAGTCTGTTTGTTTGCCTTTGACTAATACTTAATATCCATAAATATCCTTAAAGGGAGATACGACTTTATTCATAAATCCTAGAATAATGCTTGGCTCATGTAAGGTTCCCAATTGTTGACTCAATAAATATAATTCTTTCTGAAATTGACTAGGTTGTATATTTGGGATTGTCTTTTAATTTTAAATGTATGAATACTCACCCTGAAACCTTGTATGCATTGCCACTTTTAGTACTAAAAAGTTTAGGTGTTTCTGTTGCTCGAGAGAGGGCTATGAATGATATTACAGTATCAGAAAGTTTCTAATCTAGTTCTAAATTTTTTATAGTTAAATGAATTCTCTTCTATATTTGGCATTCCTCTTTTCTTGCTATCACTGACTCCTGCCCAGATGTCTATTTGAAACTGACTTATTTTTAAATAACTTTGCTTTAAAATTCATTCTACCTGTATGTCCCCTCTCTCTCTTTTCTCTCACACTCGCACACACATACAGAAAAAAGGGGAGAAAGCTTCAGTTTTGCTACTTTCTCATGTATGAAAATATCCTCTCGACTAAATAAAAGGCTCTAGGAGAATAAACAGATGACACTGGTTAAATTACCGTAAGTGCTCAATTCCTCATCACGAAGGATTCTGTATTTGAACATTCTCTGCAGGTCTTCCGGTGGGATGGAGGAAGCTTCGTGTTGCATCAGACACTCCCTGTCCGAGGTGTGCTGGCCATGGCCCTGTTCACCAGAGGAGGCTCTGTGTTCTTAGCCATTTCCCAGGCTCATGCCAGGCTCAATGCCGTTTTACTGAGATGGTCTGGAAATGAGTTTATTAGCTTTCAAGAAGTGCCAGTCAGTGGGACAACACAAGTCGAGGCCTTGATTTCAGGAGATGATATTTACTTAATTTTTACCAAGTCTGTCTCTCTAGGTAAGAAGATATAATGTTTGTAATGCATACAGAGTTATCGAAATTAGTATTCATATAGTACAGTGGTCAGCAAACTGCGGCCCCTTGAATGTGGCTCTTCCACAAATACCACGTGCAGGCGTGCACATACAGTGTGATTGAAACTTTGTGGCTACACTTAAGGGGCCAAAGAGCCGCATGTGGCTCGCGAGCTGCAGTTTGACGACCACTGATATAGTATGTTGATATGAAAATGCTCTCAATAATTGTTTAGCTAAGTCATAGAATGTGTCTTGATGGATAAATATTGGCTGTCAGCTACAAATAGATTTTGGGGAAAAAATTGTTTAGTCCTTAATCTTTAGGGGTTCTGAACCACTACTTTAAAAATATTAAAATCAAATTGGGGAATGAGTGGGTAACGTGGAAAGATCTATGAAAAACTCTATGAAGATATTATACTTATAGCATAAGTAGGTAACTTTTTATATGACTGTACTTGGGGTGCCATGGATAATTTATAGTAGTAATAAATAGTGCTTAGCAACTTTTGATAAAACTTTAAAAATATTTATTGAATATGAATATGCTTTCTTATGCTTAGTGGAATTTTCATAAATAAAATTCCAACACTCCTAAAAAATAAAACATTTGTTGCTTTTTTTTATATTGGGTCATGATTAGTGGCTAACTATATACTTCATGTGATAAATGCAAAAAGAATTTAAATGTTTCCTAATAAGTTGTATTTCTGTTTAACTGAATGAATTCTGAGGACTCTCCTATAAAATTTGTGTTTTTTTATTAGACTTAATGTTTTTATTATAGTTTTCCTGTGTAATCGTCATTTTTTTCTGAAATGTTTGCCTTCAGATTTGACTTATATTTATTATTGTAGGAGATCAGAGTTCAATTGATATTTTCACCTGGGAGCCAGGACAGTCTTCTTTTAGATATTTTCAATCCCTGGATTTTGCTGCTAATAGGATCCACTCCTTCACACCAGCTTCAGGAATAGGTAAGGGATTTTCAACTGCTGGCTAATCCCGAGGGCAGTGGGAAAGCCTGAATGATTTTAATCTCACCAAATTAGAGGTAGTGTTACATTGCCAGACACTGGGTATTTTACTAAGGATGTAAAATCAAGATCTTGACGATAATATTTCCAGAAATCCTAGACTTTTCAAATGACTGATATTGATACTCTTAAAACAGGGATTGTGTTTGGTTGGAGAAGCAAGAAAAATAGTAAGATAATAATTCAAGGTAGAACCCCAATCGCATTTGCTCTGTGAGTGGTAGAATTGGAGGGGTTAAGGGAGCTTGAGCTCTGCCTGGGTGGATTGGTAGGAAATACTTGCGGAGTGGGAAAGATATGAGCAAAAGTGAAAGGCAGGGGTGTCTGTGGCTTTGAGAGCACGATGGGCAGACTAGCGTGGTGGGGACAAAGGATTTGATTCAGAACGGAGTGGTGGTAAGGTTGGAAACACACTGGAGTCTAAACAGGTGGGCCTGGAATGTTAGCCCGGGTTTGAACTGTGTTTCAGATGGTCCGGTGGTTCCCAGACATTTTGGTCTTAGGAACTTTTCACCCTCTTAAAAAATGGAGGCCCTCAAAGGGTTTTTGTTTGTGTGTATATCTACTGATATTTATTGTATTTGAAATCAAATGGAGAAATTTCAGACAGTTATTTATTAATTCATTTAAGAATGACAGCAATAAAGTCATTACATGTGAACATAAATAACATGCTTTATTTAAAAACAGAACACTGTATTTTCCAAAACAAAATTTTTATAAAAAGAATGGCATTTCTTTTTCGTTTTTGAAACTTTTCATATCTGGTTTAATAGACGATATCTGGATTTTTTTTGTCTGCATCTGTATTTAGCCTATTGCAATAATATCAATCATATGTCCTCTGGAAAATCCCACCATTCACTCATGAAAGAATGAGTGAAGTAGACAGACAACATCTTAGTATTATTATGAAAATATATAAGGTGTCCCCCAAAATGTAAACACACACTTTGAATAATTATAAAGGCAGTGTTTATTAAACTGCATTTCATCTTCAGAATTGAGCTATCCGCTGTTAAAATGTGTATACATTTTTTGGGACACCTGTACTTTTGACCTCACAGTCTCTTTAAGGGTCTCAAGACTCTTAAGGATCCCCAGACAGCATTCTGAGCATTACTGAGGCAGAGAAATCCTTGCAGGCATTTTAAAGACAAGTGAGGATCAAAGGCGTGTTTCACAACTCCACCTACCTGTGGTGCACAGAATGTGCCGGAGGCAGTAGTTTGTAACTGCCCAGGCCAGAGCTGATGTAGAAGCCTCTGTGGGTGGTTAGTGAAATGGAACTGAAATCAGGGGGAAATCAAGTAGGGGTTTAGACATCGGGAACATCAATGCATGGAGGTAGGTGAAATCACAAAAGTTAAAATTTACAAAGTAAATCATTGTGAAAAGAGTAGAGGATTTAGCACAAATACTGGAGTTTATTCTTGCAGGGGTTTTTTTAGGTGCCTGACTTGCTTTCTCTATCAGGCATTGTCACTTTTACTGTTCTCCAGGAATCAGAGGTTTTTTTTTATCTTCCATTTTTTAAATTAAATTTATTGGGGTGACATTGGTTAACATAATTATGTAGGTTTCAAGTTACAATTCTATAATACATCATCTGTATATTGCATTGTGTGTTGACTACCCAGAGTCAACTCTCTTTCCATCACCATATATTTGACCGCTTTTATCCTTTGCTACATTTTTGTAGATTCTTCATTTCACTTTGTTTTCATGTGTCCTACACCCCACTTCTCAGCTCTGTGTCCCCAGGTTTTCTCAGACCCTGGCACCTCCCATCTGGGACATTACTTTGTTTTCTGGCTTCCATGCCAGGTTCAGGCTTCCATGCCAGGTTCACTCTGTTTGTGGTGTCTACCTCTGTTCTGCTCATCCTCTCCTTGAATAACTTTTCTTTACATTGTCAGCCTCTGACAGGCCTTCACTCTGTGATGTTGCTGTGATAAACAACTTGAGTGATGTACTCATCATTCACTCAACAACTGATTCACTGAATAAATGATGGATCTTCCATCATGGACTTGTGTAGTTTTTGTCTACTTGTTCTTTAATTTTGTACCTTTATCATTTTTGCTTCTCTATACTTCAAGTTTTCAAGTGGACTAACTTCATCTACTTGAGTCGCTTATTATAATTCAAAATAGTTGCCTAATGAATGTTTTTTAAGGTTGAGGGATGCTGCCTGAATGGGCCATTAATTGAAGTTACAGAATTCTCTTTAAATACTTTAAAAAAATAGAATAGGCACGTTTCTAAAAGAATTTGTGAAAAAAATCTGCCAGAGGCTTGTTAAAAGACCCATTGTAAGGTTTCTTTATTCTTTTGTTTCTGTGACTTGAGGTTGTAGAAGTATGAAAAGATTATAGGTAATTATTTAGAATGGCTTATTATAGATCCCTTGAAAGCTGAAATTATGCATTAAATAATATTCAAGGATTTTATTATTTTGAATGTGTCAAATATTTTATTAAAAGCATTAGATTGGAGCCATGACTATGAGGATTACATATTTATTCTGGTTAATGACCTGACAGAGATTATTGGGTGGTGACTGAATTCTTTAAATTGAAGAAGAATAATGAATATAACAAAGGCTGCAAGGACATATAAATGTATCTCCCATTTCTCTCTTCTCTCCTTTATTATTTAATAGATATTTTTAGTGCCAATTATGTGCCAAGCACAGTGGTAGACCCCGAGAAAACACTGGTAAGCAGAATCAGATATCACCTCTGCCCTGAAGAAGTTTAACAGGTAATAGGGAAGAGATACATGTAAAATCACACAAATACGTTTCTGGCTACATACAGATAACTGCTATGAAAGAATAAAGAACTCCCACAACACAAAATGGAGAGGCCTTGACCTGGTCTAAGGGATGCCCCGAGAGTTTTCTTACGTAATTAGGTGTTAATGAGGCTGAGTTAAGCATAGGGTGGGCTCTAGGTTGAGGGAACAACATGTGCAAAGGTCAGATGGTAGCAGTGAGCATGAGCTTTTAAAGGACCAGGGAGAGCTCAAAGTGGCAGTGAGGGGAGAGTGGTATAGATTATAACTGAAGATGTAATCAGACCAGAGAGGGATTTAAAGGATTATTATCTTTATCCTAAAAGTAAGTGGATGTCTTTTATGAGAAGGTGATGAGGAGATGGAGAAAGATGGGGCCAGGGAGAGAGAAACAGAGACTGTGTGTGTGTGTGTGTGTGTGTGTGTGTGTGTGTCTTGGGTGGGGGGTTGTGTGTGTGTGTGTGTGTGTGTGAGTGTGTGAGAGAGGAGAGAGAGAGAGAGAGAGAGAGAGAGAGAGAGAGAGAGAGAGAGAGGACCCATGTCATGGGGAGAAAAGCTTAGAGAAGCTTAGAGGCTGGTAAGAGATGTCTTGAAGACAGTGTGGAGGCTCATGGCATGTTTCAGACTGAAGATGTTGCATGGTGGAGTTTGGAAAATGGTGGGTGATGCAGGTGGAAAATTGGACAAGCAGATTCATTCAAAAGATGTTTCACAAGTAAAATCCACAGGAGTTGATGGTAGATTAGATATGGGGGTATGTGATAGGGAGGATGTCAAGAATGAGTCTAATTTTTACATAGGTGGTAGTCCTATAACCATTATGGTGATCACTGGGAGGAAGTCCAGGCACTTAGGGACAGAGATAATGAGTTCATTGGAATCCATTGAGATGCCTTTGAGTCATTCGTGTGCAGATATTGAAGAAGTATTGCTGGTCAGAGCTTAGAAGAGAGTCCTAGACTGCAGGTATTGGATGTTCTACATGCAGTGAAGGAAGATGTAGAAAGAGACTATGTAGCGTGAGAGGAGGGATCCTCGAACCAAGCCTTGCTGAATTCCACTTTTTCAAGGGGAGGTGAAGGAGACTGTGTGGACAAAAGATTCAGGAAATATGGGAATCTATAGCTAACACTTACTGAATGTTATGTCCCAGGTCCTGTTGCAGTCCTTCAGTTTATTATATCATTCATCCTCTAAGCTCTATGTGTTGCTGGAAAGACACTCAGCCCCTTCTCTTTAGTCCTCCAATACTCTCAGCTTCATCAAAACTATTACATTTGAAAATCATTTGGATTAAGCTCATTACTCTCTTCATTCCTGTTCATTTACCATAAGAAGTGCAGGCCCCTGGGAATGAGATTCTCATTCGCATGTGTTCTGCTCATGCTCTAGACCAGTGGTCACCAACCTTTTGGACCTCAGGGACCACCAGTGGTCCACCGCCGCTCTAGACCATCTGGGCCCAGAGTTCTAGTCCAGATGCTCACATCTCATTTCCCCAACCCCCCAAATCCTCCACAGTGCCCTGTGAAACAGATACACTGTACCTCAAACTGTTTTCAGGATATTCTCTTTGCTCTGGAACTTGGCTCTCTCCTGAGGACACTGCTTCTCAGGAAGCTCTTCCTGGTGCCCAACCCCCCAAATCCTCCACAGTGCCCTGTGAAACACATACACTGTATCTCAAACTGTTTTCAGGATATTCTCTTCTCTTTGCTCTGGAACTTGGCTCTCTCTTGAGGACACTGCTTCTCAGGAAGCTCTTCCTGGCTGCTCCATCTTTTACTGGTTTCTTCTTATATTCCCAGGTCTCTAAATGGTTAAGAATGCTTGCTCTAGCACTTAGTCCTGGAATTTCTCTTTTACACTCACTCCTTAAGTAATCTCATCCATTTGCTTACATGTGGGATACTTTTAAATTTTTTATAGTTTTGCTAAATGGGAGATAATTCTGTAATCAGTACTAGTTAAAATCCTCTTCCCAAATAGACTCAAAGACACAGAGAGCATACTGGTGGTTGCCAGAGGGAAGGGGAAATGGGGGACTCGGTGGAAGAGTTGAAGGGATGGATAACTACAAATTGGTAGTTACAAATTAGTCATGGGGAAGTGAAGTACAGCATAGGGACTATAGTTAATAATATTGTGATAACTATATATGGTGCCAGGTGGAAATATTTACTGGAAACATCAGGGGGAACCCTTTAGAGCAGTGATGGCGAACCTTTTGAGCTCGGCGTGTCAGCATTTTGAAAAACCCTAACTTAACTCTGGTGCCATGTCACATATATAGAAATTTTGATATTTGCAACCATAGTAAAACAAAGATTTATATTTTTGATATTTATTTTATATATTTAAATGCCATTTAACAAAGAAAAATCAACCAAAAAAATGAGTTTGCGTGTCAACTCTGACATGCGTGTCATAGGCTTGCCATCACTGCTTTAGAGCATATAATTGTCTAACCACTATGCTGTACACTTGAAGCCAATACAAAGTAAACTGTAATTGAAACAAAAAAGGATAAAAAATATCCTCTTCCTCCAGTAGAGATTATTTTCTTTCCCTCATACATTCCTGGCCCAATTTCATGATCCTGAACAGTACAAATGCCTATTTTCTGAGAAAACACTCTCTGCATACATATGTTCAGATTTAAGCCTACACTTCCTACTCTAAATGTCTTATTACCTATTTGCTGCCTTGTAATACTAATCAGATTGCGAGGACGTGAATAGGAGTGTATCTCCCAGGGTTGGATGCATCATCAGTGATGATCAAAAAACTTTAGTTCATGATTTTCCTTGAGACTGTAGAATCAGTTAAACTTGAGAGGTGTTGAGATCCATCTGAAGAGTTTGGCCTTTGCTGAATGTATCCAGTTTTACAAAGCTTTATGGAAAATATATGATCATTTTGAAAATACAAACTTATTAGTAACTACTTTTTTAATCTTTACTTTTTATGCAACATTTACTAAATTGCAATAGTAAAATTTTTCCCCGTATATAAAAATAATCAGTAATTCTCAATACTTAAGAATATGGGATTTTAGAGTGGGTATGGGGTGTTCCATTTTATCGTATGGGTAAAAATTTTGGAAGAGACTCGTGGTTTCTGGTTCTATATGCTATTTTAATACCCAGTCTTATTTGATATTTGTATGTTGCAGTGTGTTTCAATGAGTACTGGAATTTATGCATGTTTCTTGGCGGTTTCTTTCTTTTCTCCTGTTTTAAGTCTGAAGATTTTTTTAGTGTTGTGTACAGTGTAGTGAGCACCCTTTCCTCCTAATGTCATTAAATACAAGTATGTGCCATTGCTTTTAATTATGAAGAGCATGGTTTTCCAATAACATTTCAAAAAGCATTGACAGAACATATTCTAAAGTCTTGAATTTGTTCATATTCTTTGGTTTAATTAACCACCTTTAAGAATTTATTAAGTGAACATAATTAAAATGGAGAATTAATTAAAATTGAAAAACTATATAGAAAACAATATTATTAAATATATTTTAAGATCAACCCTATAGATTATGCATTAAAATTACAAATATGAATGCTATGTAGTCACATATAAAAAACTATGCTATATATACACTATAAACATGGTATTACCCTTTTTAATTAATTTTTATATTTAGACTATAACTGTGCCAATTATGAATTCGTATGAATCACGACTGGAAGGAAAATAGAAAAATAAACCACTTAGTGGTAGGATTATGGGTATTTTTTACTTTCAAAAGTATCCTAGCATGCTATTCCATAAATAAATATTGAGATGAATACGAACAAATCCAAAATCCATTTGGCTTTTAGCATTCAAGATCACTTTTTAAGTGGGTTGTGGCTACATTGTCAGGCTTGCTCGATCTTTCCATAGCATTTAACAGTTATTA